TTGGGACAAATCTGAACAAATAGGGCCTTCCCCCGAACAAGTGTTAAGACACAACTCAACACATGGGGCCTTCAACTGAACATATATTGGGACAAATCTGAACAAATAGGGCCTTCCACCGAACAAGTGTTAAGACACAACTCAACACATTGGGCCTTCAACTGAACATATATTGGGACAAATCTGAACAAATAGGGCCTTCCACCGAACAAGTGTTAAGACACAACTCAACACATGGGGCCTTCAACTGAACATATATTGGGACAAATCTGAACAAATAGGGCCTTCCACCGAACAAGTGTTAAGACACAACTCAACACATTGGGCCTTCAACTGAACATATATTGGGACAAATCTGAACAAATAGGGCCTTCCACCGAACAAGTGTTAAGACACAACTCAACACATGGGGCCTTCAACTGAACATATATTGGGACAAATCTGAACAAATAGGGCCTTCCACCGAACAAGTGTTAAGACACAACTCAACACATGGGGCCTTCAACTGAACATATATTGGGACAAATCTGAACAAATAGGGCCTTCCACCGAACAAGTGTTAAGACACAACTCAACACATGGGGCCTTCAACTGAACATATATTGGGACAAATCTGAACAAATAGGGCCTTCCACCGAACAAGTGTTAAGACACAACTCAACACATGGGGCCTTCAACTGAACATATATTGGGACAAATCTGAACAAATAGGGCCTTCCACCGAACAAGTGTTAAGACACAACTCAACACATGGGGCCTTCAACTGAACATATATTGGGACAAATCTGAACAAATAGGGCCTTCCCCCGAACAAGTGTTAAGACACAACTCAACACATGGGGCCTTCAACTGAACATATATTGGGACAAATCTGAACAAATAGGGCCTTCCACCGAACAAGTGTTAAGACACAACTCAACACATTGGGCCTTCAACTGAACATATATTGGGACAAATCTGAACAAATAGGGCCTTCCACCGAACAAGTGTTAAGACACAACTCAACACATGGGGCCTTCAACTGAACATATATTGGGACAAATCTGAACAAATAGGGCCTTCCACCGAACAAGTGTTAAGACACAACTCAACACATTGGGCCTTCAACTGAACATATATTGGGACAAATCTGAACAAATAGGGCCTTCCACCGAACAAGTGTTAAGACACAACTCAACACATGGGGCCTTCAACTGAACATATATTGGGACAAATCTGAACAAATAGGGCCTTCCACCGAACAAGTGTTAAGACACAACTCAACACATGGGGCCTTCAACTGAACATATATTGGGACAAATCTGAACAAATAGGGCCTTCCACCGAACAAGTGTTAAGACACAACTCAACACATGGGGCCTTCAACTGAACATATATTGGGACAAATCTGAACAAATAGGGCCTTCCACCGAACAAGTGTTAAGACACAACTCAACACATGGGGCCTTCAACTGAACATATATTGGGACAAATCTGAACAAATAGGGCCTTCCACCGAACAAGTGTTAAGACACAACTCAACACATGGGGCCTTCAACTGAACATATATTGGGACAAATCTGAACAAATAGGGCCTTCCACCGAACAAGTGTTAAGACACAACTCAACACATGGGGCCTTCAACTGAACATATATATGGACAAATCTGAACAAATAGGGCCTTCCACCGAACAAGTGTTAAGACACAACTCAACACATGGGGCCTTCAACTGAACATATATTGGGACAAATCTGAACAAATAGGGCCTTCCACCGAACAAGTGTTAAGACACAACTCAACACATGGGGCCTTCAACTGAACATATATTGGGACAAATCTGAACAAATAGGGCCTTCAAATATGTATGTATGTGTGTGTGTGTGTGTGTGTGTGTGTGTGTGTGTGTGTGTGTGTGTGTGTGTGTGTGTGTGTGTGTGTGTGTATGTATGTATGTATGTATGTATGTATGTATGTATGTATGTATGTATGTATGTAACCTTATGGCTGCTGGGACATAATTGTGCTATGGCGTCATAAAGACCTTTGACGCCAACTTACTTCAGTGAAGATAGCTATGCGTGATGTCATGTATCTCTGTAATAAATATGAATTGAAGCTTGTAAACTGTAGTTATAAACTATAATGAAAAGTCATAATGGGATTTTTATCTCACACAATTGAACATCTTCAATCTAACTATCATGCATCTACCGTCAAACAATTGAATATCTTTAGTCTAACTATCATACATCTACCGTCACATAATTGAATATCTTCAGTCCAACTATTATACATCTACCGTCACATAATTGAATATCTTCAGTCCAACTATTATACATCTACCGTCACACAATTGAATATCTTCAGTCTAACTATCATACATCTACCGTCACACAACTGAATATCTTCAGTCTAACTATCATACATCTACCGTCACACAATTGAACATCTTTAGTCTAACTATTATACATCTACCGTCAAACAATTGAATATCTTTAGTCTAACTATCATACATCTACCGTCACATAATTGAATATCTTCAGTCCAACTATTATACATCTACCGTCACACAATTGAATATCTTCAGTCTAACTATCATACATCTACCGTCACACAACTGAATATCTTCAGTCTAACTATCATACATCTACCGTCACACAATTGAATATCTTCAGTCTAACTATCATACATCTACCGTCACACAATTGAACATCTTCAGTCTAACTATTATACATCTACCGTCACACAATTGAACATCTTCAGTCTAACTATTATACATCTACCGTCACACAATTGAACATCTTCAGTCTAACTATACACATCTACCGTCACACAATTTAATATCTTCAGTTTAACTATCATACATCTACCATCACACAATTGAATATCTTCAGTCTAACTATTATACATCTACCGTCACACAATTGAACATCTTCAGTCTAACTATTATACATCTACCGTCATACAATTGAACATCTTCAGTCTAACTATACACATCTACCGTCACACAATTGAACATCTTCAGTCTAACTATCATACATCTACCGTCACACAATTGAATATCTTCAGTCTAACCATCATACATCTACTGCACACAATTGAACATCTTCAGTCACACTATTGAACACTTACAGTCCAGCAGATCAATCAGAAAGTTTCCAGTATATCATCAGTAGAGATCACAGTTACAATCACACAACACTTCACAGTGACAACACAGCTCAAGACACAATAACAATACAAAACAAACAAAGTTGAGGATATACGCGTCTCTTGATTGAAGGTGTACAGAATATTTTGATAATAAAGCGCCTATACTCGATCGGATACAAATCGCATTGACTCACTCTTCTTAATCCTATTGATGAGCTTAAACTATTGTTGTGCTGAAAACACAGATTCTATTGAAATGAAAGCATATAATTAAACGATCGGGAAGCCAGTTTGAAGCATTCATGTTTGAAGAAAGGGGTAATTTCCTTGCTGAAAACGTTGATATTTTTGCAGTAGTGAATGTTTAATGAGACAAGCTTAGATATCTTATTAACAAAACACATGTCAAAAATAATTTGTTTAATGGGATATTTTTTTTAAGTCTGTCAATAGAATTTGTTTTTTGGGGTTTTGTTTCTTAAAAAAGCCACGCTGGAGGTATGTGGTGTCATAGTTTCACCAATAAAACATTCATCATTGTCATTGTTTTAATATGAAATATGCATTAGCCCTGTATAGGATTAAACGATTGAGCACAGCGTTCGACATGGTGTCACGAATGAATTCTGTCATCGAATGCTTTAAAACAAAGCAATTAAAGTTAACCCTCACAGTCAACAGTCCATTTGCCCAAAAAAACTCATTTAAAGAAACCTCAATACATCAGAAAAAAAGGTTCAGCACATGCTTGCACATTAAACGTACGTGCACTATATTGATTTAAGTTGATAAATGAAAATCAAGGAAGATACGAAATGGAATGCATTACATCATGGTACCTTTCCACAGAGCAATAATAAGATCTAGCCTCACAGAACACGAGGTATACAATGGTAAACGTCATACAACGTTAAAGGTGCTCTGAATTTTACAGGTTCGCTTGTTCCGAATTAACATGACATGAATGTAGAGGGTAAATAGTGTTAACTGATATAGTCTGTGAAGTAAAATAAGCGACACAAAGGATGTTCAATATGTGACAAGGCCATGGAAATAGCTTTCCTGTATACGGTACAGGCTTAAAGGAAACGATGCTCCATAACTGAGAATATAGAGGACATAGTATTCAGCACTTGATCATTGAACAAGTGTCTGTCAAATTACATGTTCGCGTTTGACGAATTCTCACCAAGCATTACACATCTACAGTGACAGAACTGGACATCTACGTTTACGATAGTGAACACCTGTAGTCACACAATAGAACATTTACCTCACATAATTGAACATCTACCATCACACTATCGAACATTTTGATGTAGGTTAAATAAACGGTTGCAGAAGCTGCATGCATATCATATCAAATCTATCTAAAACAATGCTCACGTCATGAGTGGGTGAAGTGATTAACCTCTCTCGACGCTGCGCATCTCGTGCTACTGCATGCACTGTGTGTAGATACGTGTGGGTCTTCCCCAAAGATCATCCTGCATCTAACTCATACATCATTTCCATTATAAAAGACAATAAAGGAGATATATATGTTATAAAGTCTCATACACCTCGTATGTACATACCACAAAAACGCTGTTATAGCCAGAGCCAATACCATCAACGCAAACCCAACGCTTGTTAGCGATTGTGCAGTTAAAACAAACTAATTCTTCCGTACAAAATTCCTTTTCACAATAATTACTGACTTCACATCCAATCTCGAAGCAACAAAAGCTATTTGGAGTGTTTGGTGTAAATATCATGTGCTGGAAATATCTCAGACATAATACAATAACAGCAAAACGTTCCCGCGGCCTGACATCCTCTATGTTAAGAAAACACGACGGGAAGGCTTGCTGTAGCCGCGTCTATCGCTAGGCTAGCAGTCTAACTTGGCGACTGAACCGCACACACGCAATGGCCTGGCTTGGGGTATAGTGGATTAGCACTCGAGGAAGACGGCGCGGGATTAACTAATGAGCGATTGATCGGATTAGCCAACAACAACTGATTCTTGATTTGATTAGGAAGAAACAATCTCTCAACAAACAACTATGATTTTTACACGACGGAGGAGAAAGTGTCATCGTGAGGGACGACTGCCACCTACTCCCCATGTATACGGGAGGTACGACTCATCAACTCCAGTCTCGTTCTGTTTCAAACAGTAGACGTACTACCACAAGTCTCTTGCCGAATTAAGGGTGTTTACACGGAGTCTCTACATATACCACCCACGGAAGTGTTAACTGCTGTCATATAACAACAAGCGTTTGCTATCACCAGTTTCTATTTGGATATTTTTTATCCTACGCACTGATTGTGTTATCGAGTCCTGCCTGAAGCAACTTGTGATTTTTTTTCAATTATCGTTTCATAAATATTTTTTTGAGAATTTTTATTCTCAAAAATACTATGCTTTGTTTTGTGCAAGAACCTTTCTCCAGCCACAGGACAACGATATCGGCGATTGTCACACTACTACTATGGATCCACCTGTCACCAAGTGCTGCTCTTTTACAAGGTGAGACAGTTTAATTCTTAATATACAACGTTAGTTTTCCCATCCCTTTCCTTAAGGCTGTGAGTCAAGGCGTATATAAGTAACTCACCTCTAGAGCGGGTGTTTTGCCCGAGCACAGCGGGTAAGAAATCATACACCAAGATACAAACCCTCGCTCTATTCTTTGAAGACTGGAGGTGGTCCTTTCATAGTAGCTGCATTTCAAGTGACAAAAGTCAGTATTAGATTTGATCCTATAGCCAACAGTCCACAGAGAAACAACACAGCAGGTTGTCGCTTTAAACAGACCCACCACCTATAAACCACCACAACACTGGCCGCCCAAATGGCCATACAACCGAAGGTATATCCAATTTGAAATTTACTACTTGTTTTGATGACAACCTCACGTCAACCTTAAACTTTGTGTACAATTTATGTGAAAAATAACATTGAGATAGCTATACCAATAGATTTTTTCTCGTATCTTTGTAATTACTACCAAACGTGTTTGATCAATATTTTTCTTCCCCCAGAGTAGCACAATGGCTAAACAAAAGGCTCTTGGTCAAGCGGCGTAAAGAAAATATGTATAATTCAACCTGTGTTTGTTGGGACAACGTTTCTACATGCAGATCGGTGTTCCCTACTATACAAATATGTTAGTCTACATTCAAACCTCATTATTCCACGATCGATATAAAATCAAAAATATGATTTAATCAATACGTTATACCACCCGGGACAGCGTTGTGTTGAAATCGCAGCCCTACCTTCGTCCAACGCTATTGATCTTTCAACAATGACATAGATAAAATCGCCATGTTTACGATCAGCTTCGTTAAAACGGGGTGTTATTTTATTTAATTCAAACCTTTAGTAAGGGCCATACTGCTCTAGTCTATGCCCATTCATAACCCTCGCTGATGGCAATGTAATCTGATATCAAAACTGGCCTACTTACGTCGCAACACCATGTCAACTTAGGCCGACATTTCCGATGGCAACTGTTCATAAATCGATCGTTCACAAAATTAACATTAGGTTACTGTCGAAATAATATATAACAGCGGTTGGTATTTTATATTATGAAATGTACACGACCAAGGGTTATTTACAATTGGTGGCTTTAATGCTAACCTGTGTCTGCTCCCATATGTCCCCATGTGTCATCCGAAAAAATATACAAGAGATATAACACTGAGGCATTGGACAATTGTAAATAGCTTATTTGGCTCTATTCTGTCACACGTTAACTGGGTAGTAAGTGTGGTATGGGCTTGAACATGATCGCGATATATTTCAGTGTAATGTTATCTCCCATTTAAACAATAACATATTGTTCTAGAATACATTTAAACCGTTGTGACACAATTAGCCACATACATACGATGCAACCGGTATCAAGTCAGTTACACATGCACTGTCTGCAAATAACAATACGCTACACATGCACTGTCTGCAAATAACAATACGCTAACTCATCAGTACTCTTCGGTGATAATATTCAATTATGTCATCTTATGATTGGACGCGACCTGACAATGCTATATAGTCACGGGGATGTATTCCGAAAGTAAAAATGCATACGAGGAATTTTGTATATAAACAACAGCAACAGCTTCTCGAACCGCTTCATATTTACGTTTAGATATTTTCACAACTTCGGGCTCTGCTGTCAACATTTTGAAACCAATGATCTAACAAAAAACAAAACGGCTTATGTTTCTACAGGCATAGCATCACAGCTTTAAACAACACGTCCATTTCTTTTCAAGAAGGGTTTGTAGAGTGACTGTCCAAATATGCTTAGCTTTGGCGGCTAATATGTTTGCATTGTAAATATATTTTACCTATGATTTTGAAAAGAATAGTTTTCATCTTTAATATTGACATTTCCTAATTATTGTTTAACACCAGGAGTTTGTAAATTTGGTAATTTTGTTGTAAATTATCCTGAAATGATCCAGGGAAATATCATTTATGATAATTCAGAGTAATGTAATTTTGAAAGCTGAGGGTGACTTGACATTTTCACACGTGGCTGTGGTGTATATTTTGGTAGAGGTAAATGTATGTCAAATCTGAAATAGTTTGCTTTAAACGAGTTATTACCAGTATTCCCTTCTGGCCCAATAACCGATTTCACAAATCCCAGCGGGCTCCAAGACGTGATGAGTCCTTTCATGTTAATCATGTATTAATAACAACATTTCCACCGTTCTTTTGGTGCATGTTAACGTATTAACTCTGTCCCCGATGTACTTTTATTGTCTTGTGTATGCTTCAGGCTAAATGAACCAGCCGTAAATCACCATCGCAGCAGCGTACAAGTACTCTCGTTGAATACATTTACCTTACATTAAGTCGACACACTACATAGATATTTACATAATGTTAACACTGAAAAATACAACTTTCGTAATGATTCTCCTGAATGTTATTATCTGGAAATAAAAAGATTTCTTTCATAAATTAGTTCACATGAATGCCATTTCTAAATTTAACGGGTCTCATAATATTTTATGTGTGGTTTCCGTTTTATTACCACAGTTGTAATCAAAGAGTATATATTGTCTAAAGGTTACATCGTAGATCCATTTCAGATTACTTTATTCGGTTGGGTGAACAGGGTAGGCCAGTCAGTTTCCATTGAACAAACTAGGCATGAAATTAATAGTAAAGAGTTATACCTTCCCCCATTATAATAATTCTGTTAAATGTTATTCATTTGCATGGCCCCACAGCACAAAATTCAAGTTATTAACGGAATTAAAGATCGTGATGCTTTTAATTGCATGTATTTTGAAAATAAGTTGTCTTGAATGATAGATATCTACCGTTAACATGTTAAGTTGATTAGTTCGGTCATTAACCAAACCTCGGGTCATCCTATCGAATACGCCACAAGCCGAACAAACTCAGGCCATGCTTTCTCACGAGGGCGTGTTTGTTTTTGACCAATATCTAATATTGGTTTACCCAGAGAATGTTCCGAAAATATAAAGTTAGGAAAAGCACGGGTACCATCCTGCGATGGAAGAGGACAAATCCATCTGTAGTTTTAGTGACACACACATTTTTAAACTCCGAATTATTTGTACTAAGATACCTTTGGATTTCTAGTTATCAGGCCATACCAATGCCAGTTACTGAATAAGGATTTCTCTATAGTTTACAGTTACTTAACAAACACATGTTCTTGGTCGAAGGTACGAACTAAATATAATTCAAAATTATAATTATAATTATACAAAACAATTATTTGATTAATTTAATTTACCCTGTATAGACCGAGTGCTATACAATTGACACAGTAAGTATATATATCACAATCTTGATCAAATTTAGATTTACAAACTTATTAATAGAAAAATATTTACAAGCCAATTTGTAAGCATATTCCTTTAAAGCATTTATGTTCTCGATAAACGAGAGTCATACCTTTCTTCTTCAGAGTGAAATCACGTGAAAAATTGGATTTGTAGAGTAAGATAGTTTATTTGACAGTCCTCTCTGCTTTTCCTTTGATTGATCGTACATACTTGGGTGATTGTACTAAATGTATAGTTCTCAGTGAAACACGACTGTTGTCTACCAGACCATAACATTGGTTAACATATTTAACTTAGATAAGTTAAAATCAAACTGTTCACTGGCGTAAATGTTTTCAATTCATGTTTATTTGTTTGCTGTCCAATAACAATTCCATTGATAAATATCTTCACATACGTAATAAAAGACTGATTAAACGCTTATTAATAATGTTTCTTTTATCGATATTAACTACCATATGAAATTCAGTTTTACGTATAAGAATGAAATTGTTTATATTCTAATAATCCAAACACGATTATGATCCCAACGTCCATCTAGCACCTAATTAACCGGTATTAAAAACTGTTTCCCCTTCACTAGGTGTACAGCAGGGAGATCTATTGAGCCCGGCCCTTTTGCAGGATTCTAATTGTGGTGAGGGTGCCTAAGGCATCGCTCTCTAGGCTCCCGTTGCGTTGTGAACACACGATCTGACAGTCCCACTGAGCAGTTGACGTGGCGAAACGTTCGGCTCTTTAAAGGGGCACAATTTACGTTACGGTGGCTTGTTTTGCTGTCCCCTTTAAAGACGACGGCACAAATCGCCCTGATTGAGTTTCCGATAAGCGCCAGGTAGAATACCTGCTCTCAGCCTCCCAACAAGCTTATGAAAAGCCAGGTGTCAGTCACCTCGCCCCGTCATCCCCACCCCCCGGGGCAAGCGCCATCCCGACCCCCATCCGTCAGGCTCCGACACTAATAAGCTTGGAGTAGATTAAAAAACCCTTAGAAATCTGATGTTACGGCGACATATGTAATAAGTCTACTCGCTGACGATCGCTATCTTTGCCCTAATCTTACTGTCGACTACCGCCGCCTTATCGATAGGATTTATCAGGATATTGATCCGCCGTGTAATGCTTTCAACTCCTAAATACCATTTTACTGATTAAGATATACCGTTGTAATTGTATGTGTTGAATTAAATGTGTGTTTTTCTGTTTGCAGGTACGGTGAAGCAGTGTAGCAATGAAGGAGAAGAAATCAACATTACTGGGATAACAACTGACCCTTGCATCGCCTGTTTCTGTCGAGTGAGTAGTGATGTATTTCAAAGTTATCTGAAACAATCCCTTGAAACTAATCCTACACAAGTAAAATCATACCTTTACGCCAAAATAACATCAGTGTAAAAGGGGCCTGTCATTAAGCCAACTGTTGTTAGGCTGTGACGTCACAGCACGTGCCTGCAGCGTAAATTACGGTCTCGGCAGCCATCTTGGAAACGGGAATCTCTTTTGTTTTGGGTGGTCCACTGCCTCTCTCATCGAGATGTACAACAGAATGCCCTTTGTCAAAGGCTAAGTTATCTGAACCTGACTAACACACGTGAACCTCTCCATCCTATTGTCAGCGTACGCGCATGTAAGAAGTAACAAAGGGAGATAACTTGAAAGATAAGGAGATGAGACTGGAAAGGTTATCAAGAGTCCTTGATTAGTGCTACTTCAATAAAATAAACTTCATTCACAATCTAACAAACACCGCAAGCCACATAGTTGAGATAGCAAACGGGGATTGGGGATTCCGGTCGCGTCTTAAGAGAAATATGATGAAGATGTATGTTTTATATTCTTTAAATTGCAGATATTTACAATTCAGTTATGTTGCATTTCAAGCACTAGAACTTTTACGTTACAAGAGTTACATTAATTATTTATATAATTTGAATAATTAATATTAACATGCCCACAAATGTTTTGAAACAGCCTTACTCTCAGCCAACAAGCTTTCTTCCTGTTTAGGCGACAGAAAGAGACAACAAAATTGCTAATTAGGGTCATTAGAATTCCCCGGTCAAATGCTTGTGTGTTTGATATTTGCTAAACAATGTTTAATCCCTTAGGTCAAAAGGTCTTCAGTTTAGAGTTCAAAACAAATACAGCCCCATATCTCTGTATGCATTAGCCATCCGGTCAATGAAGAGGAACAACTACGATTACACAGGACATTATCTGAGCTTGCGCGAAACCACAAGCAATCGATGCTTCCCTATCTTATCCCAAATGTATTTAAATATTGTCTCTGAACTAAAAAGGTCTCATGCAATTTCAAAACTACCGCTATCTGCTGTTTCCCAGCTGATATATCCTAAATGGGTTTTTTCGACTGCCATAATTCGTCGCATGTCTTGACTCGTGACATATCGTTAACTTTTCAATGTCGTTATACCCCTTGATTTACTCTCAACGTTGATTCCTTAAACGTAGTTGAGTAGTTTCAACGAAGTTGTATATCAGATCGCTTAATAAAAAGCATAAACACTGACCGCCATCTCTTGGTGGTTGGAAACAGACGACATCGGCGCCATCTTGGCAAACGTTGTCGCCACCCACCCGACGTTGATATCTCACCAATTACAGTTGTCTCCCTTCGTATCAAATTCTAGGTTTGGTTGAACGTTGAGTAGTTTGTTTGTTACCCAGGTTACAATGTCAATTATATTTTGCTGTACATCGTGATCGTACAGATAGAAGAGGTTGCGTACTGGACACATCCTTTTCGTAGACAAAATACGCAATATGTTCTCTAAGAGAGCATTTGTATAGAAAGTACCGTTCACATTACATGAAGCACTCAGACTTATGGCGACCTGTTCTGCTTGGTACACAAGTGTTTGTGTTGGTCGCTGTAATTCTATTTCGGAAAATCTTCAAAAAAGATTCATCAATTTGAAAGTATTGTGATGCGTAAATGTTGACAAAAGCCTTAGAAAGCGTGCGTGCGATCCTGTGTGCTTCATTAATATAGTGTAAAAGGCCACGGTGATGCTCCATCGCCTACAAATGCAGATTAGCTGATATGTCCGAAAAGTAATTTCATTCACGACTTTTCGTTTTTTTCTATTCCCATAATATTTGAGGGCATATACCAATCTTTAGTCAAGCGTGTTGCACGTGTTCAGAAGGTTAAAGGGTAAATGAATATCAGGTTAAATTTGAGAAAAGGCGTTCAAGCCTTACCTGAACACCTTTTTGGGCATAGCGAAAATACTTGGTTTTATGTCCTGAAAATTCGACAAAAGACAAAGAAAAACGTCAACTGTATTTTTAGAGGTTACGTTGACATTAAAGGGAGATAACTGTTGTGTGGATTGCCGACGGAGGATTCGCCGCAGGGTACGGGGTGGCGTCTACCTATTATCCCCTTCCGTGCTCCTTCGCTTCACTTTGCCTCCATTTTGGGTCTCTGCCCACCCGCAAGTATTTGAGCGTCTCTCTTTGTCTCACGTGTTGATCTTTCCGAGTTAACACAAGATAGGCGACGTTCACCTAGTACTTGCTGTTTACATGAGTAAGTCGAACCCATTCACGCAGGCGCGCTCCCAGGCGGTCACGTGACCTCTGGCCCTCGGTGGCAGACGACACTTACGGAAGAAAATACCAACAAGATAATCTTTGGAAATAACGTAAAGAATATGGAAGAAAAGTGCCACGCGGATGAGAACATAACACATCATTAAATTCGAAACGGTTTCATAATTCATAATGTGGAAGAAGTAAATATTTCATTTAATGAATCGCATATTTTTCAGTATGTCTACAGATGCCACACAAAGGACATAAACCCACAGAATAGTGTATGTTACATTTCAATATAGTCTACCCCCAAATATATGCAAATATTACACCTAAGTGTTAAATACGCCTTGTCTTCAGTCAAAGGAGACACATTACACCAGTCCCATAAATTAAATTAGATCGTCAGCGGCGGATAAAATTGTCATAATAAGATGGATTTGGTTCTAATGCTCCCTAGATTGAAATAAGAAACACTCGCTATCACGTTCAAAGAGACTAAAAGCCCGCCCGCCCGCAATTTTCATATTTCCCCTTCAAAAGGGGACATAACTCCTGGCGTGACATAACGGTGAATCATTTTGCCATACGGTTTTTATCCTGACATCCTTGAGTGTCCAAACGCGGATAAAATGTTCACACCTAACTAATTCGTAGTTATGATAACCTAACCCTTTCATGATACCCCTTTGCAAATATTTATATTGGAATACAGAGGTCGGGCGCTCATCTTAGCAGGCCGGTAATATGAATTAGATAACACTGTCCATAGACATTCTTTATCCACATATGCGTGAATTTGGCTGGTTGGACGTATTGAAACCGGTTCACACTTTTATGAAATCCTATTTATAACATTTCCATCAAACTAACGCTCGGCACACCCAAACATTAAATTGTTCTCTGAAAAAAAAGTAATTCGTTCGTATCTTATATTTGAGTCTTTCTGTAGACAATAACCATATAAGAGGTATCGCTTTCAAACATAGAACCAGTCAATCTCCCGTCTAGCCCAGCAACCAGGCGGCATGTTCAGCAGTCAAATCTCTAGGAAGACCCAACTTGTAATCAGTAGGGTAATTATATATCTATCTAACCCCCCGTATCACCAATAGGGATTTACACATTACTATAAATCTGGGCAAATTGAGATATGAGCGTCTAGTCTCCTGTGTAATGTATGGGGGAAAGTTAAAGGCGATATATATTTACTGTCGGGGAGTAACATGCTATTTGGACAAGTAAAAACAGCTGTTTCTAATGACAAGTAAGCTTGAGGGCACGGGAGGTCAAGAAAAAGATATAATTCAAATTTTCATTCAAGGCAAAAGGACGATGTGATCTTGTGAAAGGATGAAAGAGTCAAAACAAATCTCAACTTGATTTAGCTTCCCTAACAAGTCCGTTAAGTTTATAGTGAGTGAGCATATCGTTAGTGCGCTGGCTGAATTTAGAAACAATTTTCACTTTTTTCAAATCTTGGCTTCATGCCTCTGTTGTTTCAAAGAACACGTGTTTTTCCCGAGGCCCATTTTGCTGCAGATTTGAGTGCATCTAAGTATGTGATCAATTACGTTACCTCCATGACTTTGATACTCAACAAAAAGAAGCAGATATCCCTGTGTTAACTACGTTAGTTCTGGTGACCTGAATAACGTCTGTTGTCGAGAATTTGTCTCTATAAATAATTCCGATTTGGTTTTTGTTGAAGTGGAAGTAGGTGTTGCCCGTTGCCCGGTTGTTCAACTTACACTGCATCTCATCCATCGCGATTGGTGTGTGGGTTTAATATGACAGCCTCTCTCTCCAAACCTACTCGATATTTTATTACAACTGTTACTTTAAAATGTCCCCGCAAAGTGGCTCTATTCCTCTTGAGGACCATTAGCGATCGTAAAGACGGGTATGTTTGCTTACGAACTAAGATTTGATAGGTCGTCTGCTCCAGCGGGCGACTCGCAGACGACAGTGAGAGCCATCTTGAAATACTCCAACCTGCTGAAAACTATCCATCGTCATGCACTTACTTTAAATATGATAGTTGATATATACAAGAGTCGTTGTTAAGAAAATGTTAGTCCTATTAAATAATTGGATTTGAACTGTCTATTTTAATGGATTCAACCATGCCGGCCATACTGTGTTGAGTAACAAGTGAACTGATTTAAACTATATTTGCTCTCCTCTGCCTTTTACACATTCTCACAAATGTTATGTACAAATTCTGATAATCGTTTACCATACCATAACATTATGATAACAAATTTTGTATGAACGGGTCAAAACAGGATTCTTTGTGTCATCCCTAGCGTTGATACCTGTCACAGCACACGGTTCTGAAACAACCCCGCCTCGGCTCGGCTACGAAACATCGCTGCACTGTATACTGTCAAATGATGAAATATTGCTGAAAAGTCAGATAGAAATGTTTACCCGGCTTTCTAAAACGGACCGAAACGTGATTAAAATTTCAACTGTCAATGTCGGTATGGTAAAGACTCGACGGGCCGTCTGTTAGCGCAGTGTCCTGACGCCATGTGAATCTTGTTAACCGCTACCCGTACACATTGAGAGAAAGGATCGCACAGAGGCAATGTAGTTCGACAAACTACCTTTAGGCTGGCACTAGGGCTAGATATGTGTGTGCATGAGTATAAAAGAGGTACATAAGGTACTGTTAAACTGGACGACATATTTAATAGTGTTTCCTCCAGTCAACATGGCGGCAGAGATCCCAAACAGGAAGGACACAAGGCTTGCTCTTTTCTCTTGAACCGACAACATTCCAACTTTTCGTAGTTACCTATATGTATTTCAGGGGTTAGTAAATACGTATATGGATTAAGGTTGTTTAATCCGCATTTCTGAGCAGATGCTCTTTGCAGTGAAAAAGGGAAAGCTGCAGTTAGCGACGCGGCGTCATAAATTTCCCGATGGAATGTGGAATATTTGAAATAATTTATTGTATCATTGTTTTATATTCGTGTTTCAGAAAGGCCAAGTCGAGTGTGAGAAAACCAAATGTGGAAACCTAGAGGGCTGCCACGCCATTTTATTTGACGGTCCCAGCAAGAAGTGCTGCGACGTATGTAAAGGTATGCAATAATAATAATAATAATAATAACAATAATAATAATAATAATATATTTTTGTTTTACTTTTATTTGATACATTGTTATTATTGGTATTAATTGTTTGGGTTTTTTTTACAGGTTGTGTGTATAAAGGCAAAAGCTACGAAAGCGGTCAGATTTGGTCGGACCCGAAGAAGCCCTGCGAACATTTTGAATGTCGGGTAGGTACCTTTAAACATGACAAACTGCAAAATACAGACAAACTATGTTTATGATATCTACGTAATAAATGCCCCGTCTGGTTATGATCCAGAATAAGAATATTTTAATCAAAGGTTCAGAGGGACGAGCCGAACATCTATTCACCTGCTGGACGTTTGCAAGCTAATTCCCTTTCTTGTCCTTTCGGAACATCTTCAGGAATGTTTTGTTTGTTTTTATTCAGAAGGGGTATTTGTGTAGAAAATCACCAGTCAATAACCCTTGGTCTATAGTAACCTCGTTTTAGCCGCCTGGGACTTGGTACACTCGCTGCTAAACTCCATTGTAGTTAGCAAGAAGACTCTAAGCCGTGGCTTTAAGGCCAACCAAACAATTAAGAGTTTACAGATCTCGTTGGCTTCTCAAACATCGCGCATTTGCACGAGATCTCGGACAGGTTTCTGGCAAATATTTTCCTCTCAACTACTTCCAGTGTATTACGTTCATGAATAGAGTGTTATGTAATGATCTCCAATGTCTGCTTCCACGACATAAATTATTAGTCGGCCTCAGAACTACAAGTTCAGAAACTGACAACAAAATTGACAAATAAATGACTGAATTACACGCGGCCTTTGGACTGTCTATACATACAACACCCAACAACTACTTTGGACTGCCTGTACATTACTATTTTTTTTAAACTTAAGATAAGTGGTATGCCATGTTTTATCGTTGACCGGAACACTGGGGTTTGGATCGTGTGAGAAATTTCACCCCGAAGCCCGAAAAGGCAAAACGCGCACTTGAAATGGAAGATTAGAATTTTGAACAGTTGAGTTTCTTTCACACACATTAAATCCAGTGGGGTTTATGTCACATATCGTTTATGTTCGTTATTTATCTTTAAGATTTAACGCGTGGGCTACACTTGTCACAGTTAATTATGAAACGATTATATTGAAATGATACCTTTCTGTCTAGACTGAGAAAGATGAGCCGTGTGCCTTATTCTTGTCAATAAATATTCTGTATTGTTTACAAACAAATGGCCATTGTAAGATATGTTTACAAACACATGTGTATTGTTTCCAAGCATGTATATGTATGTATGTGATGGTATTTAAAATGGTATTGGCTTAAACAGGCATCGGTTTACAGAGATGTACATATTCATGGCAAGAAGCGAGACCTCTTGGGGGGATTACCCAAGTAGCCCCCCGCGTTTAACGTATTGTTGTTTTATGTTGTTCTGGTTTTGTTGTTTCGTGGATAATGACTTTTGTATCACGGGAAGCTACTAATTCGGATAGATTAGCTAACATTTAAAAGTGAACTCTCACTGGCTTCGTCTTTAGACAGACAGTTTTAATGACTCAAATATCGCCAGAATCACCCATGGCCGTCCAGGTGTGCTTGTGAATGTCGGCTTTATTGCGGTTTGATATATCATTTATCGGAACGATCTCCCAATTCTGTTTCTACGATCGACTCATTGTACCAAGTAAAGCGAAATTCAGAGGCATTTATTACTTGCACATTACACGTGCATCTCCACACAAAATACGTTTTCTTTCTGTTTGATATTTTATAGGAGTTATTTCAAAGAAAGTTTATGGAATGTTTATTGTGTATTTATCGCTTGCTTTAATGGAATCTCTTTTCGTTTTAGGCTAGTGTTGTCACTAGATCAAAGAAACAGTGTCACGTCCCGTGCAAAAATCCAATCCAATCCAAGAATGAATGCTGTCCTTCATGCAAAGGTATGTATAAAAATACAACCGACTTTAACCATTTTGTGGAACGAAATGGGATTGGCGAATGTACCCCAAAATACAACCCAATTGATCCAAGATTACCACTGTGTTGTTTCGGTAACAAACATAACAACAAAATACTTGCAAACATTTCGACATTTGTTGCGGACTTGTGCCGCTGTTGTAACGTTTGTTTGGGTTTGTTTACAAACGTTAATTAAACAACCCCGCGAATGCTAGTGTCCTCCTCCCCCCAAATTTCAAACATGACCATCATGGAGATGGCTCAGTCGAAGATTCATTCCCCACTGCCCAAACAGTGCAAAGTATAATATGTCCACTCAGCTGATTTTATCTGTTACGTTAGGCTTCACCGAAATTTGTATTCCAAACAGACATATAACCTTGTGGCGTTATCCTATAACTTCGGCATGTTTCGTTGATTTTCGGTGACAGATGGGACGAGTGTTCGGGTGCGTCAGCGCGTGCAAATAGTTAATTTGATTGGTTCAGTGAACTGAAAGCCACCATTGTCAACACACGACTTTTCCTCTGAAGCTGGACAAGGCACTAGGATTGTTCATGGTTGTTTAACTGTAAATAAAACATGGTATTCCATTCAGAATAAACATCAATGGGATTATTGTGTTCTCTGGTTAATAACACAAATATCCAGATATTCTTAAATACCTCATAAATGCACATTAACTCTCTGAATACCTGGCTCTCCACCACGCAATCAAACAGATATTTTTTTACAGTGAAGACAGGATTTATAGCATCCGACTAGTCATTACGGACACTTCATCACGCATTTCACTCTATTAAAACACCATTTATAATAAAACCAGACCCCGGTGTGTGCTATGTCTGTAACGCTCAACGGACATCGAGTTTAAAGACACAACTGTCACTTAAGATAGCGCACGAGGGCCGCCGTAGCACAGTAATCTACAATCAAAGCGAGGAGACCGCTTTAAGTAGGTCAAACTCACATATGGACAGGGCCACTGTCAGTAAAAAAACACGAAGGGGGATTACATAGTAAATATATGTCATCATAAATACCGCTACTAGTTTCCCCTCAACAGACATGCTATCCACCACCCCACCTTAAAGTATTTGTAATAAAGCCAATGCCAACTTGATGGGGGTCATTTACCTTCCCGTGTCGAACCATAATCTGATTTGATCACATTTCTAGTGTGGGAATGTTTAGGTACACTTGTATGTCACGTATTTTACCACCCAAATTCTGACGATCATCCTTTGGGCCTAATCTTATTCCCCGTAAACCAGGCAGGTACTGCACATCTGTTTCATGCGGAGCAGGAAAACCACAGGTGTACTTCCGGTTGTAACACCGCCATATTGTTAGCCCAAATACAGAGAGTTAAATTCAATGGTAACAAGGTAGTTCGTGTCAAACTGTCGACCAACAAACACGTACAATTCATTCAGATTTGTTTTACTGCAAACATTTCTTCAGTTTATTTTGTTTTTGTTTTAGGTTGCTATTACGAAGGAAAGGAGTACAAGAATGGCGACGTTTTTTCTCTCAACACGGACAAGTGTGTCAGCTGTTCCTGCAATGGCGGCTCCATCACCTGTACGAAGAAAGCGTGCCCAGTTCTGAACTGCCCCGCCGAATCTGTTTATACACCAGAAGGAGAGTGCTGTCCCATGTGTAAAGGAAAGAGAACCATCTTTGATCCAAGGGACATTTGCTTGTACGCCCGGACTATCAAACGAAACGGAGACACCTTCAGCCTCTCTCCACAAAATTGCACGACATGCACATGCAACGTAAGTTACCGGCTTCAGTATACAATCAGTGTGTGGCCCTGTCAGAGATATTTCACATATCATATTCATGATTAATATGTCCTACTTTTTGTCGGACTACATTATAGGGATTATATCACACGCTGCTCGAATTGTAACACCCAAACAATCGCATGTTTTGTTGACTTTTTACACCCTTCATAAGTGTTCGGCAATCCTTCCGCTCTAAGTATGAATGAATATGCCTAGACTGTTTACACAATATATTACCTATCAGTTTGTTACACTCGTTATCAATGGCATGCATTCAGAGGCGTAATCTAAAACCAGGAGTTATGTCATTGACCTGTTCATAAGTGACTAAATGAAAAGCATAGCGTGGTTTGGAAACATTTGATCCAAGTATAACATAGACGATTCCATTTTTCAGTCAGGGACAACGATATGTACTCGTCAGAGCTGCCCGCCCCTTGATTGTCCAGAGAGTGAGCAAACCCAAGATGATGGTGCCTGCTGCAAGAAATGTCTGCCTAAGAGGGATTGTACATTTCAAGAAAAGGGATATAAGGTAAACATCATAAATAACATTGTACTGTTTTAATAATTATTTACTTTTTTAAATTAAAATTAAATGCTTTCATATACAAAATATATATTTAGATTCACTGAAAACTTTAAAATCCAACTAATAATTATATTTTGCTTGTCTTAGCACCGTGAGGAATGGCGTCCCAGTATCTGCACCCACTGCACCTGTGATGATGGCGTCACCTACTGTCAACGTGAACGATGCAGTAACTCGCTCTGGTGTCCAAAAGGTTATCGTCTCAAGTTCGAACCTGGTGCATGCTGTCCTAAATGTGTTGAACGTAAGTACATACTTGCAACAGTATTTAAAATAGAATTACAATTGTTATATTTAAAAAAAACCATTTTAATATAACATTGAATGTACAAAATAGTATCACAATAGTATCAATACTTAAAACAATAAAAACACTGGAATACAAAACAAAGCAAACCATGGATCATTTATTAACGAATCATCTTATATTTTACAGAAGACGCTGTGTGTACTGTATTCGGTGATCCTCACTACAGAACCTTCGACGGCAAGATGTTCAACTTCCAGGGAACATGCAAATACCTCCTCGCCAAAGACTGTTCCAAAGACAATTCCTTCACCATTAAAGTCAAGAATGGTGTCCGTTTGTCCTCCGGGTTTGCTTGGACCCAGATGCTTGTCGTGATCATGGGCAACACACGTGTCAGTCTTCTTCAGAACCTTGTGGTCAAAGTTAACAGGAAGAGGATCGCCCTCCCCTATACAGATAGTAACAAGTTCACCATTAGGAAAGACGGCCATAGCGTGACCTTTAGGGCTGACATCGGATTGAAGGTCGTTTGGGACGGAGACAGCTACCTCGAGGTCACGGTCAGCAGCAAATACAAGAACCAGATGTGTGGTCTCTGTGGGAACTACAATGGTCTTGAGAACGACGACCTGGTTGGAAGAAAGGGCAAGATCTACGAGAAGGGTGAAGACTTTGGTCATTCCTGGAGGATTGGTAGCAAAAAAGCATGCAAGGTCAAGCCCAAGCTCCGTCGTCTCACGTCCCCCTGCGAGAGTGATGCCCGTGCCAAGATGAGAGCCAACAGACACTGCAGCGCCCTCTACGATAAAACCTTCGCAAAGTGTCGCCGCCAGGTGGATGTTCAGCCATACGTCAGTTCATGTGTTACCGACATGTGCGATTGCCCTCATGGACACCAGTGCGCATGCGAGTCGCTTCGTGCATATGCTAATGAATGCAAACGCGCAGGGTTCAAGGTCAAGTGGGACAATTCAATGTGCAATGGTATGTGTCACGTTCAATTTACGAATTATTCAATTCTAGAAACTATCTGTTTAAAAAAAAATTAAGAAATTAAATTTAAATAAATGCATTTTTATTCAATATTACAATGCGTCAAAATATTATCTAAACCAATGTCTTATGAACCTCTTCTCTATTTTCAGCTGACACCAAATGTCCGAAAGGCGCTATTTTCTCCCCCTGTGCTTCGGGGTGCCCAAGAACATGCAGCTCCAAAGGCAAGTTGGGATCCTGCAGTAAGAAGTGTAAACCTGGATGCCAGTGCAGGAAAGGAACAGTCCTCCACAACAACAGATGCATTCACCCAAAACAATGCCCAAAGAAAGCATGAAGATCGTGATCTACAAGCTTACGGTGGCAATTACAACGCACGTGCCCCACGTGCAACAACATGATCCAGTGCTATCGCCTCGTGCTCCACGTGCTGACCGTGCAGAGTACAGTCGACCGTTTGCAGTAGTGCTTGGAACCTGTGCTATGACGTCACAAAGTGCTAAGCATGTATATGCTACAGTTAATATTGTGATTGGGCGTTGGTGGTTCAAAAGAAGGTGCTGTAAATCTGCTCAGGGTACTTCAAAAAGAGGGAACAGAGTGTCTGATACGAACAAAGGTAGTTCAGTGGTCAAAATTCGTAAATGTTGGGAAAAGAAAGAATTACAACTGTAATTTACGATGATCACTGACAACGAAATATTGAAAGTTGTTAAATGTTTGTGAGAGGGAAGTGAAACAAAATGACTGAAACTTACAATATGTGGATTTGTTCAAGAGAATGTTCATGTGATAGTAACTTAAAACAATGCATTGCGTATATTGCCTGTCCGTAGACAGCAACTATTGTGATATCTTAAACGTTCCCCAGAAATATAACCGACAAACCTCAATTATTGATGTGCTCAAATGTCATGGATTCCTATTTCGTTGTTTTCCACTTGTCAACATTTCAATCTCAGGCAATGATTTAATAAAATCATGTCGTCTTATACGTGCTGGAGCAGAGATAGATGTTATGAAAAACATGTAATAACGACGGAAACAACGTTTCCAACACAATATATATAATGCGGATTTTAGAAAATGCGAAATACGGATTCGCAGTAACGTTTAATGTAGTGCAATATATTAACTTATCGACTTCCAATAATGTCCAAGTCTACCTCTAGAAAAAGAACTCCTATTGCATTTCTGCACGAACGATTGTGCTAAGAGAAAGCCACTTAATCAATGGCTTTCATTTCCAAGGTGCTATACTACAACGTCATGTGTATCATACTTCATTTTTGATGAGCTATTTATGAATGTACATATTCATTTTTTTGTATATTTAGACTATTTTCCAGAATCTGGAAGTAACTTATATTCGATGTACATATCATATACATATTGAAATTAATTTATTTTGCCAATAAATCAATGAATACAATTCGAAGCTTTTGCTTGTTTCATGGAATACCAACATATACGGACCTCCAGTTGATGTGATGAGCGGAGGAATTTTATGCGTTAAAACAAGACGGAAAATACTTACCTAATTATATTGCTTTATATGAGGTATCTCGTCTGTACAGTTCGTCGGTTTGTTGTAAATCTGTCGAGAACAGCAATATAAGGCATTATTTGATGTCAGGGCACGTGAATCGCATATCTGTCACAAATGACAAGCTTCTCACAACACACAATGTCCGCTACACGCCACAAGGGCTTGGGACCTCGTTATAACGAGGTGATTACACATCTGCCATAAGCGCCATGACGTCACACAAGCTCATTACTGACCGTTGCGTAGACGTGAACTACCGTTAACGCTTCAATGAGGTGATTAGGAATCTGTCTGCTATTGATACTGTGTGTCACACGCACTTACGTTTAACTTACCTGACACGTGTTGTGGAATAACGTCGGACACCTGTCGCTAAATAACTGTTCCATTCTGACTTCATGACCCATAATTCTGACATTGGTTTCAAATATGAATGTAGTAACATCCAACCTTTGGTAAATACACATTCCTGATAAATAAATAGGTACATTAATACCCACATGTAATGTATAAAAAAGGATGTTCTGAAATCGTCCACCAAATACTGCCAGTAGGTATTCAATAATTTTGTTTTAATAAGAGATAAGTTGATAAATAAATTCAGAATTAAACGAGAGAAATTAATATCTATTAATAATAGATTTATACGATTATCTTATAATTCCCAGTTTTATCAGCATTGGACTTAATGGCATACATCCTACTTCTACGGATCACCAGTCCTTCTGTTCCTGTCATAATACATGTTTACCGATTACAGCTATCAGTGAAGTAATAAATAAATATACAATATACAAGTTTGGGGCAACATTTTGGTCTCAAATAACGTAAACTATGCATTGTGTCGGGAATTACGATACAGCGCTTTCAGCCAAATTATGTTTCAGGATAACAATACATTGAGACAATAAGCATTGTCACAAAACCCAAGTGACCGATAACACATAATCACAGATGAAACACGTCACCACTTACACAAACCATCATTGGGTCAAGGGTATGTAACATATATAGTTCCTTACTCCGCTGAACGAAACAACTAAATACTGCGTTTGTCTTTAGCCTCCGAGTATTTTCACCAACAAAAAACACACGTAAAGGTTTAGTCAACTATTCCAGATGTAACAAAATAAACATTATTACTTACTCTCCAAAATGTTCAGTTCTATAAGTGACAATTTGATAAATTCTATAAATGTTGGACATGCCCTGTTTCAAAGACACAATTACATCTTATGATTAAATGAAGTAATGTTTCTGTTATTGTATATTGTATGAAATTAGAAAAAAATGAAAACATCCAAAAATAAATGCCATTCAAAACACAACTGGGATAAACCATAGAGATCATCGGGACCCGCCTGTAATTACACATACTGAAATAATGAGTAAGAGACATCTCTAAAGGTTCCTGCACCTCCACTGAACGGAAGAACTAAAATTCTCTGTTTGCTTCATAAACCATGGATTAAATCCCAGTTACACGGGCAAAGTGATTACTTATCTTTCATTTGCCGACACCCGATTGGCACTGGTGACCTACCGCCATTGATTAATTAACGGTGCTCACTAAACACACCTGACACTTTGATCACCGCCGCTACCAATAAAGGGAATAATGCTCTGAAAGGGTTAATTGCAATTAGCGGTACCTTTTATCTTTTGGGCAACACCAGTAGGTATCTTTGATCATGCGTGTTTTGGGGAAAACAGATCTTGTAGTTAGATTATTTTCAACAAGTTTTGACAAGAACAATTGCGGGTTTGAAGGTTACCGATATGGAATCAATGACATTTTTGTAAGATGGAAAACAAAAAGAAAAAACAGAGATTCTTCTGCCAACCACAACAAAGGAACTAATGGGATCGACAAAAATGAAACTTGAAATACGTTTTTCAAAATACATACATGTATACAATTAACAATTCTCGTTAAACACATAAAGAGATTTGCATCCAGACATTTACAGACCATGAAACAACACAGTACAATGCAACATAAAGAATTATAAAGAACATACAGTGAAGTACGGTTATAACGAACTCAAAGGGACTACTAATTTTAGTTCGTTATAACCGTAGTTCGTTATAAGCATATATACAGCATAACTACAGCAAATAGTCGGGACCAAAAAGTAAGTTCGTTATAAGCGTGTTCGTTATAACCGTAGTTTACTGTATGTGCAAATACACATCAGTAAACTCGGGATTTGCGTGTAAAAGTAATTAAACATTTCGTATGACCGCGACAGCTATGTGTGATGGCAAGAAAACCATACATGATAATCTGATCAAACGTTAATGATTCAATCTGGTCGATTCATCGTGTAACCTTGTGCTAAATAATGCACGTATTCATATATCCAACAAGCTACAATTGTGTGTACATAGTAGCTCAAATATGCTACATTTTACAAGCCTTGCCTTGATGTTTGTATATCTGAAAAAAGAATTTCATATTTTAACTTGATTGCCACTTGCAAACCACTAGAACCAGACATTTTCATATTGGCCCCCAGTTTGATTCCTCACAGGGGTAGGCAAGTTCCCTGGTGTCCCCTGCTACGATACTTCCGGCGTAGTGGGGTGAATAATCAAACTCAAAAGTTTAAAATCCCATTCTCGCCCTATAGAATCTACCAAAGAAGCTGTGACATTTACAGCTTCACAGCGAATAACGGTAATATATGATGTTCCATTTAAACAATGTCGTGTGTTCGATTTTACGCTAACGTGGCTGGCTAAGGGCCCTTGTTAATAACGTATCTCCTATAGCTTCAGACCAACACCATTTATCAGTTCCCGCATGTCCGTTGAGCTCAGTTTATCTACAGACATGACATCATGGCGTACTCCTTCATACAGAGATGACATAACAAATGTAACCAAGGTCCTCCAGAACTTATAATAGACGATGCTACGAAGCCAGTGGCTGGGCGTTGTATAGACTCACTGAGTAGACACTTTGCTTTCACAACAACACGGACATAAGCGCGCCGACATCTAACATCGAGCGATGTACGAAAATGACTCTGACTTTGATCAACGGCTTCAGTGGTTATAGGGTTAATTTACATTGACAAATTATGTTGGTTGTGTAATGGCCGCGAGATGGACAAAAGAGATTAATTTACTGGGAGCATCATATGGTCTTAAGGATCCAGGTAATTGTGTAAACAAAATGGTATTTCAGTCATGTAATACACAAATAGACGTCAATTGAATTCTGGGCCCCTGTTTAAGTATATCTGAGCGATTAAGTAAAAGCCAGAACAGTAACAGCAATATACCAGCCACATAGCCTTGAGGAAATGAAACTAAAATACAGAGAAGACGAATAGGGGATATATATATATATATGATTTCATTACATTTGTATTTTATGTAGCGTTGTATAACCAATAACTGATTGAATTTAAAATGACGACGACAACGCGATATATTTTGCATCAAGATAATTTTAAAAAATCCAATTTCCAAAAAAACATTCGATAAATATCTGCAAGCACCCGTAAAATATTAGCCTTAAGCGTTGATGTTGAAAGTGAGAAACATAGTTCAATAGGAGTTGCCTCCCTTAGTTGTCACAAATCATTGGAGAGATTTTTCTTCATACCGAGATAAACTCGAAAAGACTGATAATTACGTCACACATAGGTGTATTATAGTAAGATTATTTGTTTGTAAAAACAAATGTCGAAAATATATAAGTTATCGACGGACTGACGTCACGACATTAGCTCACTTGACTTTCAGTCAGGTGAGCTAAAGATTAAAAGCACAAAATAATATACAATAATTATTATAACAATAACAGCACGTAGTCACTACTGGGATCTATGATTCTGAATGATGAATATTAAATAACAAGTTTCATACAAGCACGGGCTTCAAAGACACACATTCCTAAATGAAGGGTTGAATGCTTCATTCGCTTAATCCTATATTAATACTAGCTCCATGAGTCTTGAAGTATTACGAATTCACACTCAACTTGAGATCTAACGGGGAGGTTGTTATGTGAATATACTGTTATTCGCTTGGTGGGATATATGGCTGTTGACTAAATATAAAAGAAATATTTGTGAGTGTGGTTTTACGCCGTCTTTAACAATATTCCAACAATATCATGGTGGGAGATACCAGAAATGGGCTTCACACATTGTACCCTTGAGAATAATTGAACCCGGGACCACAATACTACCCGAAATATGAACAGTTGACAAATTTTAGTAATTTTAGTAATAAGAGGAATGTAGTGACTAGCTCATAAAACGGGAAAGAGAAATTATGGATGTCAACTTCTTTATTAAAAGGAACACCACGTTTGGGAGTACATGTATATACTTGCTCCTTCATCCGATGCTCATTCATCATTCACCCGATGAAGGAGCAAGAAGTATATACGCCCAAACGCTGTATTCCTCAAAATAAAGAAGTTGACAACCATAAATTCTCTTCCTTATGTGTATCAAGTCTAAATGCCCTTCAAAGCCTTAACTCATAACAATTAAGTAGATAAAAAAAACAGTACTTCCATACTCACAAGTAAGTGTAACCTGTTGCGGGAAGACAATGCTAGTGATTTAACGAGCGCTTCCGGTGGATACTATTTCGCACTCGGGAGTCTTTCATGCATCCTCTTACTGATAAAGAACATCAACGTTATGTAACAGAGGAGATGGAAAGTGTTGCGGGAAGCTACAAGACGGCTTCATTCATTCGTTCATTATAATGACATCAGAAAGAAGGATGTCGACAGTAGTCACGGTAATTAGACGTGATTACAGCTCGTGGACGACAAAATCCAATCAATGTCATGTGGCACCACTGCCAGGTGTCACTGGCGTGTCTTACAGTGACGGCGGGATCCCTGCGTGATG